GCGGTTTACAATTGTTATTTTTGGGAGTGGGGCCAGTACAGGAGGCACATGCCAGACCTATTGTACATATTTTTAGTGGTAGGGGAAACCGGAGCACCCGGAGGAAACCTACGCAGACACGGGGAGAACATGCAAACTCCACTCAGGAAGGCCCTGGTCCAACCGGGATTCGAACCCAGGACCTTCTTGCTGAGAGGCGATAGTGCTATCCACTCAGCCACCGTGCCGCCCTTAAGTGTTGCTATAACTGTGACTCTTTAGTTGATAAGTTGTTAAAAAACAGCTGCAGTACATTCAACACTGCAGCTCAAGTCCAGACTAGAACCAGGAAGTACCACCACATTAGTCCAAGTCTCAGGTCTCTCAGGGACTGGACTCCTGCTGGGACTCTGAGGAGCACAGGGACTGGCCTCCTGCTGGGACTCTGAGGAGCACAGGGACTGGCCTCCTGCTGGGACTCTGAGGAGCACAGGGACTGGCCTCCTGCTGGGACTCTGAGGAGCACAGGGACTGGCCTCCTGCTGGGACTCTGAGGAGCACAGGGACTGGCCTCCTGCTGGGACTCTGAGGAGCACAGGGACTGGACTCCTGCTGGGACTCTGAGGAGCACAGGGACTGGACTCCTGCTGGGACTGAGGAGCACAGGGACTGGCCTCCTGCTGGGACTCTGAGGAGCACAGGGACTGGCCTCCTGCTGGGACTCTGAGGAGCACAGGGACTGGCCTCCTGCTGGGACTCTGAGGAGCACAGGGACTGGCCTCCTGCTGGGACTCTGAGGAGCACAGGGACTGGCCTCCTGCTGGGACTCTGAGGAGCACAGGGACTGGCCTCCTGCTGGGACTCTGAGGAGCACAGGGACTGGCCTCCTGCTGGGACTCTGAGGAGCACAGGGACTGGCCTCCTGCTGGGACTCTGAGGAGCACAGGGACTGGCCTCCTGCTGGGACTGAGTCAGGACTAAACATGAGGAGGCAGTGTTTCAGATTTATGCAGCTAAAATCTGGAAAAGTCTTTCTTAAAATGTGAGACAGGCTTCTACTCTAACAAAATGGCAAACACCACCTGTGAGCCATGCGGTTTTTTAATAGGAGAAAAAATACAAAACAACAACAAGATGCTTAATATGTATGGATTTAGGCAGGGTAAGTTTAGTTGTTTGTCATACACAAAGCAACTCAAAGTGCTGAACAAAACAAGATTTATTAGGATTCAAAGCTCTCTTTCATTTCACCTCAGGAACACACTTTGGATCCTCTTGGTTTTGTTGTTGGAGGTCGGAGTTGGAGAAATGACTCCAAAAATAAATTAAAAGTTTTTACCAAATTGTAAATAATATGCATTCATAATAATAGCAGTGAACGTGGTAAAGGTCTCGCTCTGGCTTCATGTGTCCTTTGTCTTCTTTCGCAGCACTGTCAGATCCAACCCAAGGCCACGTTTTTTAGTCTGTCCCTGTTTTTATGAGTTATATTTAGAGCCGTTTTAAAACAGGTCAGTTTTTCAGCGGACCACCCAAAGAGTCTCCGTCCTCCTCTGAATCCTCTGTCTGCACACGGCCTGGTCACATGATCCCAGTTACTTACCCTTAGTCCCTTTTTTCTCATCAACTTTGAGTCACTGGAACCAACCTTGAACAAATTCCATTGGTTGGCACATTCCTGAAACAAGGTTCTCGTTTCTCCTTTTTGTCCGGGGCTTTTATGTTTCCTTTTGTCATTCACTGCGTTTACTTAAATGGACAGATATCTGCATTTGAACGACATTACACAACCTCAGACCTCTGCCTCTTTCCACAATTTGTTCAGACCTCTCTAGTCTCAGTATACATACAGACTCAGACCTTTCTAGTCTCAGTATACATGCAGACCTCTCTAGTCTCAGTATACATACAGACTCAGACCTCTCTAGTCTCAGTATACATGCAGACTCAGACCTTTCTAGTCTCAGTATACATACAGACTCAGACCTTTCTAGTCTCAGTATACATGCAGACTCAGACCTCTCTAGTCTCAGTATACATGCAGACTCAGACCTTTCTAGTCTCAGTATACATGCAGACTCAGACCTCTCTAGTCTCAGTATACATGCAGACTCAGACCTCTCTAGTCTCAGTATACATGCAGACTCAGACCTTTCTAGTCTCAGTATACATACAGACTCAGACCTTTCTAGTCTCAGTATACATGCAGACTCAGACCTTTCTAGTCTCAGTATACATGCAGACTCAGACCTCTCTAGTCTCAGTATACATACAGACTCAGACCTTTCTAGTCTCAGTATACATACAGACTCAGACCTTTCTAGTCTCAGTATACATGCAGACTCAGACCTTTCTAGTCTCAGTATACATACAGACTCAGACCTTTCTAGTCTCAGTATACATGCAGACTCAGACCTTTCTAGTCTCAGTATACATGCAGACTCAGACCTCTCTAGTCTCAGTATACATACAGACTCAGACCTTTCTAGTCTCAGTATACATGCAGACTCAGACCTCTCTAGTCTCAGTATACATACAGACTCAGACCTTTCTAGTCTCAGTATACATGCAGACTCAGACCTTTCTAGTCTCAGTATACATGCAGACTCAGACCTTTCTAGTCTCAGTATACATGCAGACTCAGACCTCTCTAGTCTCAGTATACATGCAGACTCAGACCTTTCTAGTCTCAGTATGCATGCAGACTCAGACCTTTCTAGTCTCAGTATACATGCAGACTCAGACCTCTCTAGTCTCAGTATACATACAGACTCAGACCTTTCTAGTCTCAGTATACATGCAGACTCAGACCTCTCTAGTCTCAGTATACATGCAGACTCAGACCTTTCTAGTCTCAGTATACATACAGACTCAGACCTTTCTAGTCTCAGTATACATGCAGACTCAGACCTTTCTAGTCTCAGTATACATACAGACTCAGACCTTTCTAGTCTCAGTATACATGCAGACTCAGACCTTTCTAGTCTCAGTATACATGCAGACTCAGACCTCTCTAGTCTCAGTATACATACAGACTCAGACCTTTCTAGTCTCAGTATACATACAGACTCAGACCTTTCTAGTCTCAGTATACATGCAGACTCAGACCTTTCTAGTCTCAGTATACATGCAGACTCAGACCTTTCTAGTCTCAGTATACATGCAGACTCAGACCTTTCTAGTCTCAGTATACATGCAGACTCAGACCTTTCTAGTCTCAGTATACATGCAGACTCAGACCTCTCTAGTCTCAGTATACATGCAGACTCAGACCTTTCTAGTCTCAGTATACATACAGACTCAGACCTTTCTAGTCTCAGTATACATGCAGACTCAGACCTTTCTAGTCTCAGTATACATACAGACTCAGACCTTTCTAGTCTCAGTATACATGCAGACTCAGACCTTTCTAGTCTCAGTATACATGCAGACTCAGACCTCTCTAGTCTCAGTATACATACAGACTCAGACCTTTCTAGTCTCAGTATACATGCAGACTCAGACCTTTCTAGTCTCAGTATACATGCAGACCTCTCTAGTCTCAGTATACATGCAGACTCAGACCTTTCTAGTCTCAGTATACATGCAGACCTCTCTAGTCTCAGTATACATACAGACTCAGACCTTTCTAGTCTCAGTATACATGCAGACTCAGACCTTTCTAGTCTCAGTATACATGCAGACTCAGACCTTTCTAGTCTCAGTATACATGCAGACCTCTCTAGTCTCAGTATACATGCAGACTCAGACCTTTCTAGTCTCAGTATACATGCAGACTCAGACCTCTCTAGTCTCAGTATACATGCAGACTCAGACCTTTCTAGTCTCAGTATACATGCAGACTCAGACCTTTCTAGTCTCAGTATACATACAGACTCAGACCTTTCTAGTCTCAGTATACATGCAGACTCAGACCTCTCTAGTCTCAGTATACATGCAGACTCAGACCTCTCTAGTCTCAGTATACATGCAGACTCAGACCTCTCTAGTCTCAGTATACATACAGACTCAGACCTCTCTAGTCTCAGTATACATGCAGACTCAGACCTTTCTAGTCTCAGTATACATACAGACTCAGACCTTTCTAGTCTCAGTATACATGCAGACTCAGACCTCTCTAGTCTCAGTATACATGCAGACTCAGACCTTTCTAGTCTCAGTATACATGCAGACTCAGACCTTTCTAGTCTCAGTATACATACAGACTCAGACCTTTCTAGTCTCAGTATACATGCAGACTCAGACCTTTCTAGTCTCAGTATACATGCAGACTCAGACCTCTCTAGTCTCAGTATACATACAGACTCAGACCTTTCTAGTCTCAGTATACATGCAGACTCAGACCTTTCTAGTCTCAGTATACATGCAGACTCAGACCTTTCTAGTCTCAGTATACATACAGACATTGACCCAGCCTGAGTTCAATTCAATTCAATATATTCTTGTATAGCCCTAAATCACAACAGTAGTTTCTCAGAGGACTTAACCAAACCGTTGAAATCACCAACACGGATCAGAGAATCAACAGTTAAGATACAATAAATATAAAACACATTATTAGTCCAAAGGGAGTCGACCAATGTCCCTGAGTTTGCCCATTTTCTCATTCAAGTCAGACCCTCTGAGTTTCCGAGATCGCAGTGAACGCCGTATCTCTCTCGTGCAGCCACCCACGAAAACACAAGCGAATGCCAAAATCAATCAAACAGACATTAACCACCTTATCTCCTTTCATTTACAGCTTGCCACAGGGTTAGATTCTACTCAGATTTATCTAAGGATTTCACAACCGTCCAAACAGGAGAGGATTTAATCACAGCCTCTCAGTGACGTGACGTTCAGCCGCAGAAGACATCCTGTGGAAAATTCTGCACACAAAAAATGTAAATGACACTGTTAGTAATCAATTATATTCCACTTCTTGATTTCCGTGGCAGCTAACGAGGGGCACAGCTTGCATACAGGCGTGTCATTAGCTGTAATTGCCTCCTCTCTGTCCCACATTCACACTGCACTCATCCATGAAGGAGACGAGCAGAGGGAAGAACTGGGAGTCAGTGTTTTATCCGGGAAGATTAGAACGGTAAAGCAGAGTTCTGTAATTGGAAGCACACAGTATGTATATGTCCCAGGTTTGATTTCAAAGGTAAAAGGTATATTTAGTGTGACAAACTTGGTGTGTGTGGCTAAAAACCCCAGTAACTCTGATTCTTTCTGGAAAACTGCGTGAACGTTCCCGCTGTCTCTGGCTCGGTCGGATTTTACCACAAATGGTTATTTTCTCTTTGTCGTTGCACCATATTTGTCCATTTGCAAGATTCTCCACAACATTCTGCTGGACTTTTGCACAGAGGAGTTATCCGTGAACGTCAGACCATGTGACGTCTGTAATCACCATTTCACAGGAAGTACGGTCTCTCTGGAATCTACATTAATGCTCTCACTCTTTCTCAAGCTCTGGACAAATGAAAGAATAAGCTACAGCTATGGACCGAGTGGGAAATGGAAGCCGGATCAAGCCAGATGGAGGCAGTGGAAGCGAGAGCAAAGTGGTCCATTTTAAAGCCCTAATTAACCTTTCTTGCACATTTCCAAGATCTCAGAAGCAAAGTTTACGCAAAATTATTATTATTATTTGATGTTCAGAGACATGAAACTCAAAAATGGATAGTGTTCTGCTCCAGAGAACATCTAAACAGTGAGATCCCGCTTCACAAGTATGAAATATACAATCTCTGCAGCTCAGGCCTCTTTCATGCGGTCTTGGAAACTCTGGAAATATCTGTGTCTAATATATCGTCTGACTTCCCGAAAGTCAATAAGTGCGTTCACGAGGAGCTGGTGACACACAGACACACACAGACACACACACACACACACACACACACTCACAGACACACACAGACACACACTCACACTCACAGACACACACACACACTCACACACATGGACACACAGAGACACAGACACAAACACACTTACACACGGACACACCCTCAGACCCTCTCCACGACCACGTCTGATCTCAGACATGGTGGTACACAGTCAGGAACAGAGAGCGGACGCTGGAGAAGATTGCTTTATTCAGGCCTTACTTCACACATCGTCTGGATTTTTGGGTATTTTGTGGGCAAAAAAGTGAAAGTGGAGAGGTCTGGGCAGAATTGACTTCGTGAGATAATAAAGTACATCTCTCTCATCTCTCGACACTGGGAACCATATCAAAACCCTTAAAGATGGAACTGTTCGTGCTCATATATTTGAAAGGAATCACAGTTGACTGTTGTATAAAAAGTTAAATATAAAAGTCAAATATAAGACAACAGCAGCACCAACATGTCAGTACTGAAGAAGAGGCTCCCGAGTGTTTGAAGGATTTGTTCTTTACTCAGAGAAATCCTGGATACAAGAAAAAATCAAGGATGCCATAATCTTTGTAAAATCCTCATTAGAAGGTTTTAAGAACAAATTTGTTTCTAAAGAACAGTTCATGAAAAAGGCCCATTGTTCTTTAGAGAATTGTGGCCTGTATTTGATCTGAAACACAGTCCCTTTCACTAGTTTCATCTTTAGTGTCTGTTCAGCAAATGTAGTTCATGCCAAGAGTATATTTATTCATTGAGCGCTTTTCCTTCACAGAGCAACACAAAGCGCCTCACAGTCCACACCACAAAGCCACAAATCATCACATACAACAAACACAAAACCACCGTTAAAAATAAGATTTAAATCACACAGGTATAAAACCATAAAACAATTAAATAAGAGGAGGTATGTTCCATTTGTCGTGTGTGTGTCTGAACAGCTGGATGTGGATCAGGGATTTCCAGGTTTGTCCAGTGTTGGTCCAGTGTTGGTCCGGTGTTGGTCCAGGGTTGGTCCAGGGTTGGTCCAGGGTTGGTCCAGTGTTGGTCCAGGGTTGGTCCAGTGTTGGTCCAGTGTTGGTCCGGTGTTGGTCCAGGGTTGGTCCAGGGTTGGTCCAGGGTTGGTCCAGTGTTGGTCCAGTGTTGGTCCAGTGGTGGCCCAGTGTTGGTCCAGTGTTGACCCAGTGTTGGTCCAGTATTGGTCCAGTGTTGGTCCAGTGTTGGTCCAGTGTTGGTCCAGTGTTGGTCCAGAGTTGGTCCAGTGTTGGTCCAGTGTCGGTCCAGAGTCGGTCCAGGGTTGGTCCAGGGTTGGTCCAGTGTTGGTCCAGTGTTGGTCCAGTGGTGGCCCAGTGTTGGTCCAGTGTTGACCCAGTGTTGGTCCAGTGTTGGTCCAGTGTCGGTCCAGAGTTGGCCCAGTGTTGGGCCAGAGTTGGTCCAGTGTCAGTCCAGAGTTGGTCCAGTGTTGGTCCAGTGTCGGTCCAGAGTTGGTCCAGTGTCGGTCCAGAGTCGGTCCAGAGTTGGCCCAGTGTTGGTCCAGTATTGGTCCAGTGTTGGTCCAGTGTTGGTCCAGTGTTGGTCCAGAGTTGGTCCAGTGTTGGTCCAGAGTTGGTCCAGTGTTGGTCCAGTGTTGGTCCAGTGTTGGTCCAGTGTTGGTCCAGAGTTGGTCCAGTGTTGGTCCAGTGTCGGTCCAGAGTCGGCCCAGTGTTGGTCCAGAGTCGGTCCAGTGTTGGTCCAGTGTTGGTCCAGTGTTGGTCCAGAGTTGGTCCAGTGTTGGTCCAGTGTTGGTCCCAGTGTTGGTCCAGTGTTGGTCCAGAGTTGGTCCAGTGTTGGTCCAGTGTCGGTCCAGAGTCGGCCCAGTGTTGGTCCAGAGTCGGTCCAGTGTTGGTCCAGTGTTGGTCCAGTGTTGGTCCAGAGTTGGTCCAGTGTTGGTCCAGTGTTGGTCCAGTGTTGGTCCAGTGTTGGTCCAGAGTTGGTCCAGTGTTGGTCCAGTGTCGGTCCAGAGTCGGCCCAGTGTTGGTCCAGAGTCGGTCCAGTGTTGGTCCAGTGTTGGTCCAGTGTTGTTCCAGTGTTGGTCCAGTGTTGCTCCAGGGTTGGTCCAGTGTTGGTCCAGTGTTGGTCCAGTGTTGGTCCGGTGTTGGTCCAGGGTTGGTCCAGGGTTGGTCCAGGGTTGGTCCAGTGTTGATCCAGGGTTGGTCCAGTGTTGGTCCAGTGTTGGTCCGGTGTTGGTCCAGGGTTGGTCCAGGGTTGGTCCAGGGTTGGTCCAGTGTTGGTCCAGTGTTGGTCCAGTGGTGGCCCAGTGTTGGTCCAGTGTTGACCCAGTGTTGGTCCAGTATTGGTCCAGTGTTGGTCCAGTGTTGGTCCAGTGTTGGTCCAGTGTTGGTCCAGAGTTGGTCCAGTGTTGGTCCAGTGTCGGTCCAGAGTCGGTCCAGGGTTGGTCCAGGGTTGGTCCAGTGTTGGTCCAGTGTTGGTCCAGTGGTGGCCCAGTGTTGGTCCAGTGTTGACCCAGTGTTGGTCCAGTGTTGGTCCAGTGTCGGTCCAGAGTTGGCCCAGTGTTGGGCCAGAGTTGGTCCAGTGTCAGTCCAGAGTTGGTCCAGTGTTGGTCCAGTGTCGGTCCAGAGTTGGTCCAGTGTCGGTCCAGAGTCGGTCCAGAGTTGGCCCAGTGTTGGTCCAGTATTGGTCCAGTGTTGGTCCAGTGTTGGTCCAGTGTTGGTCCAGAGTTGGTCCAGTGTTGGTCCAGAGTTGGTCCAGTGTTGGTCCAGTGTTGGTCCAGTGTTGGTCCAGTGTTGGTCCAGAGTTGGTCCAGTGTTGGTCCAGTGTCGGTCCAGAGTCGGCCCAGTGTTGGTCCAGAGTCGGTCCAGTGTTGGTCCAGTGTTGGTCCAGTGTTGGTCCAGAGTTGGTCCAGTGTTGGTCCAGTGTTGGTCCAGTGTTGGTCCAGTGTTGGTCCAGAGTTGGTCCAGTGTTGGTCCAGTGTCGGTCCAGAGTCGGCCCAGTGTTGGTCCAGAGTCGGTCCAGTGTTGGTCCAGTGTTGGTCCAGTGTTGGTCCAGAGTTGGTCCAGTGTTGGTCCAGTGTTGGTCCAGTGTTGGTCCAGTGTTGGTCCAGAGTTGGTCCAGTGTTGGTCCAGTGTCGGTCCAGAGTCGGCCCAGTGTTGGTCCAGAGTCGGTCCAGTGTTGGTCCAGTGTTGGTCCAGTGTTGTTCCAGTGTTGGTCCAGTGTTGCTCCAGGGTTGGTCCAGTGTTGGTCCAGTGTTGGTCCAGTGTTGGTCCGGTGTTGGTCCAGGGTTGGTCCAGGGTTGGTCCAGGGTTGGTCCAGTGTTGATCCAGGGTTGGTCCAGTGTTGGTCCAGTGTTGGTCCGGTGTTGGTCCAGGGTTGGTCCAGGGTTGGTCCAGGGTTGGTCCAGTGTTGGTCCAGTGTTGGTCCAGTGGTGGCCCAGTGTTGGTCCAGTGTTGACCCAGTGTTGGTCCAGTATTGGTCCAGTGTTGGTCCAGTGTTGGTCCAGTGTTGGTCCAGTGTTGGTCCAGAGTTGGTCCAGTGTTGGTCCAGTGTCGGTCCAGAGTCGGTCCAGGGTTGGTCCAGGGTTGGTCCAGTGTTGGTCCAGTGTTGGTCCAGTGGTGGCCCAGTGTTGGTCCAGTGTTGACCCAGTGTTGGTCCAGTGTTGGTCCAGTGTCGGTCCAGAGTTGGCCCAGTGTTGGGCCAGAGTTGGTCCAGTGTCAGTCCAGAGTTGGTCCAGTGTTGGTCCAGTGTCGGTCCAGAGTTGGTCCAGTGTCGGTCCAGAGTCGGTCCAGAGTTGGCCCAGTGTTGGTCCAGTGTTGGTCCAGTGTTGGTCCAGTGTTGGTCCAGTGTTGGTCCAGAGTTGGTCCAGTGTTGGTCCAGTGTGGTCCAGAGTCGGCCCAGTGTTGGTCCAGAGTCGGTCCAGTGTTGGTCCAGTGTTGGTCCAGTGTTGGTCCAGAGTTGGTCCAGTGTTGGTCCAGTGTTGGTCCAGTGTTGGTCCAGTGTTGGTCCAGAGTTGGTCCAGTGTTGGTCCAGTGTCGGTCCAGAGTCGGCCCAGTGTTGGTCCAGAGTCGGTCCAGTGTTGGTCCAGTGTTGGTCCAGTGTTGGTCCAGAGTTGGTCCAGTGTTGGTCCAGTGTTGGTCCAGTGTTGGTCCAGTGTTGGTCCAGAGTTGGTCCAGTGTTGGTCCAGTGTCGGTCCAGAGTCGGCCCAGTGTTGGTCCAGAGTCGGTCCAGTGTTGGTCCAGTGTTGGTCCAGTGTTGTTCCAGTGTTGGTCCAGTGTTGCTCCAGGGTTGGTCCAGTGTTGGTCCAGTGTTGGTCCAGTGTTGGTCCGGTGTTGGTCCAGGGTTGGTCCAGGGTTGGTCCAGGGTTGGTCCAGTGTTGATCCAGGGTTGGTCCAGTGTTGGTCCAGTGTTGGTCCGGTGTTGGTCCAGGGTTGGTCCAGGGTTGGTCCAGGGTTGGTCCAGTGTTGGTCCAGTGTTGGTCCAGTGGTGGCCCAGTGTTGGTCCAGTGTTGACCCAGTGTTGGTCCAGTATTGGTCCAGTGTTGGTCCAGTGTTGGTCCAGTGTTGGTCCAGTGTTGGTCCAGAGTTGGTCCAGTGTTGGTCCAGTGTCGGTCCAGAGTCGGTCCAGGGTTGGTCCAGGGTTGGTCCAGTGTTGGTCCAGTGTTGGTCCAGTGGTGGCCCAGTGTTGGTCCAGTGTTGACCCAGTGTTGGTCCAGTGTTGGTCCAGTGTCGGTCCAGAGTTGGCCCAGTGTTGGGCCAGAGTTGGTCCAGTGTCAGTCCAGAGTTGGTCCAGTGTTGGTCCAGTGTCGGTCCAGAGTTGGTCCAGTGTCGGTCCAGAGTCGGTCCAGAGTTGGCCCAGTGTTGGTCCAGTATTGGTCCAGTGTTGGTCCAGTGTTGGTCCAGTGTTGGTCCAGAGTTGGTCCAGTGTTGGTCCAGAGTTGGTCCAGTGTTGGTCCAGTGTTGGTCCAGAGTTGGTCCAGTGTTGGTCCAGTGTCGGTCCAGAGTCGGCCCAGTGTTGGTCCAGAGTCGGTCCAGTGTTGGTCCAGTGTTGGTCCAGTGTTGGTCCAGAGTTGGTCCAGTGTTGGTCCAGTGTTGGTCCAGTGTTGGTCCAGTGTTGGTCCAGAGTTGGTCCAGTGTTGGTCCAGAGTTGGTCCAGTGTTGGTCCAGTGTCGGTCCAGAGTCGGCCCAGTGTTGGTCCAGAGTCGGTCCAGTGTTGGTCCAGTGTTGGTCCAGTGTTGTTCCAGTGTTGGTCCAGTGTTGCTCCAGGGTTGGTCCAGTGTTGGTCCAGTGTTGGTCCAGTGTTGGTCCGGTGTTGGTCCAGGGTTGGTCCAGGGTTGGTCCAGGGTTGGTCCAGTGTTGATCCAGGGTTGGTCCAGTGTTGGTCCAGTGTTGACCCAGTGTTGGTCCAGTATTGGTCCAGTGTTGGTCCAGTGTTGGTCCAGTGTTGGTCCAGTGTTGGTCCAGAGTTGGTCCAGTGTTGGTCCAGTGTCGGTCCAGAGTCGGTCCAGGGTTGGTCCAGGGTTGGTCCAGTGTTGGTCCAGTGTTGGTCCAGTGGTGGCCCAGTGTTGGTCCAGTGTTGACCCAGTGTTGGTCCAGTGTCAGTCCAGAGTTGGTCCAGTGTTGGTCCAGTGTCGGTCCAGAGTTGGTCCAGTGTCGGTCCAGAGTCGGTCCAGAGTTGGCCCAGTGTTGGTCCAGTATTGGTCCAGTGTTGGTCCAGTGTTGGTCCAGTGTTGGTCCAGAGTTGGTCCAGTGTTGGTCCAGAGTTGGTCCAGTGTTGGTCCAGTGTTGGTCCAGTGTTGGTCCAGTGTTGGTCCAGAGTTGGTCCAGTGTTGGTCCAGTGTCGGTCCAGAGTCGGCCCAGTGTTGGTCCAGAGTCGGTCCAGTGTTGGTCCAGTGTTGGTCCAGTGTTGGTCCAGAGTTGGTCCAGTGTTGGTCCAGTGTTGGTCCAGTGTTGGTCCAGTGTTGGTCCAGAGTTGGTCCAGTGTTGGTCCAGTGTCGGTCCAGAGTCGGCCCAGTGTTGGTCCAGAGTCGGTCCAGTGTTGGTCCAGTGTTGGTCCAGTGTTGTTCCAGTGTTGGTCCAGTGTTGCTCCAGGGTTGGTCCAGTGTTGGTCCAGTGTTGGTCCAGTGTTGGTCCGGTGTTGGTCCAGGGTTGGTCCAGGGTTGGTCCAGGGTTGGTCCAGTGTTGATCCAGGGTTGGTCCAGTGTTGGTCCAGTGTTGGTCCGGTGTTGGTCCAGGGTTGGTCCAGGGTTGGTCCAGGGTTGGTCCAGGGTTGGTCCAGTGTTGGTCCAGTGTTGGTCCAGTGGTGGCCCAGTGTTGGTCCAGTGTTGACCCAGTGTTGGTCCAGTATTGGTCCAGTGTTGGTCCAGTGTTGGTCCAGTGTCGGTCCAGAGTCGGCCCAGTGTTGGTCCAGAGTCGGTCCAGTGTTGGTCCAGTGTTGGTCCAGTGTTGTTCCAGTGTTGGTCCAGTGTTGCTCCAGGGTTGGTCCAGTGTTGGTCCAGTGTTGGTCCAGTGTTGGTCCGGTGTTGGTCCAGGGTTGGTCCAGGGTTGGTCCAGGGTTGGTCCAGTGTTGGTCCAGTGTTGGTCCAGAGTTGGTCCAGTGTCGGTCCAGAGTCGGTCCAGGGTTGGTCCAGGGTTGGTCCAGTGTTGGTCCAGTGTTGGTCCAGTGGTGGCCCAGTGTTGGTCCAGTGTTGACCCAGTGTTGGTCCAGTGTTGGTCCAGTGTCGGTCCAGAGTTGGCCCAGTGTTAGGCCAGAGTTGGTCCAGTGTCAGTCCAGAGTTGGTCCAGTGTTGGTCCAGTGTTGGTCCAGTGTTGGTCCAGAGTTGGTCCAGTGTTGGTCCAGAGTTGGTCCAGTGTTGGTCCAGTGTTGGTCCAGTGTTGGTCCAGTGTTGGTCCAGAGTTGGTCCAGTGTTGGTCCAGTGTCGGTCCAGAGTCGGCCCAGTGTTGGTCCAGAGTCGGTCCAGTGTTGGTCCAGTGTTGGTCCAGTGTTGGTCCAGAGTTGGTCCAGTGTTGGTCCAGAGTTGGTCCAGTGTTGGTCCAGTGTCGGTCCAGAGTCGGCCCAGTGTTGGTCCAGAGTCGGTCCAGTGTTGGTCCAGTGTTGGTCCAGTGTTGTTCCAGTGTTGATCCAGTGTTGCTCCAGGGTTGGTCCAGTGTTGGTCCAGGGTTGGTCCAGTGTTGGTCCAGTGTTGGTCCAGTGTTGTTCCAGTGTTGGTCCAGTGTTGCTCCAGGGTTGGTCCAGTGTTGGTCCAGGGTCTGTCCAGTGTTGGTCCAGTGTTGCTCCAGGGTTGGTCCAGTGTTGGTCAAGTGTTGGTCCAGTGTTGGTCCAGTGTTGTTCCAGTGTTGGTCCAGTGTTGGTCCAGTGTTGCTCCAGGGTTGGTCCAGGGTTGGTCCAGGGTTGGTCCAGTGTTGGTCCAGTGGTGGCCCAGTGTTGGTCCAGTGTTGACCCAGTGTTGGTCCAGTGTTGGTCCAGTGTCGGTCCAGTATTGGTCCAGTGTTGGTCCAGTGTTGGTCCAGTGTTGGTCCAGAGTTGGTCCAGTGTTGGTCCAGTGTTGGTCCAGAGTTGGTCCAGTGTTGGTCCAGTGTTGGTCCAGTGTTGGTCCAGAGTTGGTCCAGTGTTGGTCTAGTGTTGGTCGAGAGTTGGTCCAGTGTTGGTCCAGGTGCAGGATTTCTCTCAATGTTATCTTATTTAAACAAGCCAAAGCTGTCTGTAGTGGTGTGACGCCAATCAAACTACACATTCCCATTGTGTCTCCCGCTAAATAAGTACGCATTTATCTGTCTTTACACACACACACAGACACACACACACACACACACACAATAGCGCCCGGACAGCTTGTGCATATTTGGCCCTGGTCTCTCTTTGTCTGGGTTCCCTCCAGGTTTGGCCTCTGCCGCTGCTCCGTGACCGTGCATTCGGATCCACCCGGATGCGGCTTGTTTCCACGCCGCTCTGGTTCAGGAGCAGCTGTTGACTTGGCTCCGCGGACCCAGAGAAAGACCGCCGCCCCTCCCCCACCAAACCTCCACCGCCCGCCGCCTGCTGCCTGCTTCCAGCGAGCACGAGGGGGATGGGCGGAAAGCAAGCACTGCAGGGAGGAAGAAGAGAATCTGAGGGTTTAGAACACAAGAAAACCACAAAAGATCCTCATGATAGAGTTGTTCTGTATTTGCTCACATCAGTCATGATTTTTGGGTATTTTCTAGGTAAAAAAGTGAGAGTGGAGGCAGAAGTCTGGCCAGAATTGACTTCAGTTTCAGTTGTTCCGAAAGAGTGAGATTACTGAGTTTCTTAACACGACAACGTACGTCTGTGGATGTGACTATGGATATTTTATGACACTTTTAAGCCATTTTGATTAAACCTAAGCTTACCAAACAACAGAAAGCAGGAGCAATAAAACATGTCTGTGTGTGACAGCGACCCCAAACCCCGCGCCATGACCTTCACATCTTAGACAAACGCAAGAAAGAATATTCAAGAGATCAGGTCATATTGATGTCGTTTGGACCAGTTCATATCTGTGTTCAAAAGGTCTGTACTTTTTTACCCAGGCTCAGTGTGCTCTGTGGTCCCCAAAGCTGCCTCATTTTTACAACACGTTATTTTAAGAGGCACGACCACATAAAGACAGGACAGAGGTTCACCATGACCACAAAGATCCAATCCCTTTATATGTTTGTCCCGATTCCAGTTTGCGAAGTCCACAATCAAGTCCAATTTCAGGAGAAGACGATGGTATTGTCCATTTCTCATTTTTGTCCATTTCTCAGTGGATTGATCTGTTGTTGTGCTGTACTTAAAGGTTTACAGGAGGATTATCCCAAATTTTAGAAAAGAACCGTCCTTTCCACTTTTTGGTCTTATGTGACGAGCACGTATCAGCAGAATGATTCACAATTGGGAGGACCAATAGTCTCAATGATCCACCCGGAAGTTAAAAATACAACTAGAAGTAATTTGTGCGGGTCTGTTCTGGATGGATCAGAACCGTTAAAAGTGTTAGCTTATATATACTTTAATGGATTTTTATGTATCACTACAGCCTTTCCCAGGGTTTTAGCGACTACAGATAATTACAATCTGTAGAATGGGAAAATGTCCAGAAAAGTCCAAAAGAGGTTGATTTTAAAATGTATTGAATGAATTCCGTGGATGTTATCTTTTAGCTTATTTTAACTCATGGTTATTATATACTTTGGTCTTGAATACATGTGACTTTTCCTTGTATTTACGGTAGAACAGTGCACCGTTTTCTTGGTAATTCAGAGCTTGACAAATGTTTTTTTTTTTTATTAGGGTTAATTTAGGTTAAAAAGTGATGAGGATTCACAACATTTTCATGTTATGCCCGGCCTGTAACACGCTGCACTAAAGCTGTAAAACGGCAGAAGGTCCAAAGTGTTTCTGAAACTGTTGTTTTCTTGCTTTTTCTACCTACGATGTTGCTGTGGTTCAGTGTTCATGGTTTTACTCTGGTCCAGACCAGAGCACAGAGGATTCATGGTTTTACTCTGGTCCAGACCAGAGCAGAGAGGATTCATGGTTTTACTCTGGTCCAGACCAGAGCAGAGAGGATTCATGGTTTTACACTGGTCCAGACCAGAGCAGAGAGGATTCATGGTTTTACACTGGTCCAGACCAGAGCAGAGAGGATTCATGGTTTTACACTGGTTCAGACCAGAGCAGAGAGGATTCATGGTTTTACACTGGTCCAGACCAGAGCAGAGAGGATTCATGGTTTTACACTGGTCCAGACCAGAGCAGAGAGGGTTCATGGTTTTACACTGGTCCAGACCAGAGCAGAGAGGATTCATGGTTTTACACTGGTCCAGACCAGAGCAGAGAGGGTTCATGGTTTTACACTGGTCCAGACCAGAGCAGAGAGGATTCATGGTTTTACACTGGTCCAGACCAGAGCAGAGAGGATTCATGGTTTTACACTGGTCCAGACCAGAGCAGAGAGGATTCATGGTTTTACACTGGTCCAGACCAGAGCAGAGAGGATTCATGGTTTTACACTGGTCCAGACCAGAGCAGAGAGGATTCATGGTCCGAACCAAGTGGATCAGATGAATCTATTTATCTACACCTCAGACCTCTTCCTGACCAAGGAATGTCAACGTTGGCTTCATGACGGTCTATATTTGAACAACACACATTTCCAATCTACATTCCTAACAGGTCAAATATCGAGGCACCTTTAGACAGAACGATACAATCCCAGGACATTTCTGGACATTTCTGGACATTTCTGGACATTTCTTTGGTTCAGATGGTTTTAAAATCAGCCTCATCCTTTGTATCTCTCTAACATCGGTCACTTGTCCAGTTCAGTCCTGCTTTAGTCTTTCCCATTGTCCTTGTATTGTTCTGAGCCTCGATCCTCAACCCTCCAGGGCTTTGGTGCAGCGCGAGTCTGCGTCACTGGAGGAAAACAAGCTTCTGTGGAACGTTTGTGCAAAAGAGGAGAGGGAAAACACGAGATCAGATTTGATAGAACTGACACTAATAATGCAAAGCAGAGTGTTTCTGAGCCTTTAACCATAGAAAACACACCTTCAGCTTCCTCCACGTGTGTTTCAATGATCTTCTGCACGGACAATTCCCCACAGACGCTCA